CAATCAAGGTTAATTTAATTGTAATATTTTTCTGTGCAATAATAGTGTGTATGAGTTGTTTGAGTGGCCAAAAGTTTTGTTTTTGTATTCTTAGGTTGAGGTTGGATGTAGTTTGTAGAACTGAGTTTATTATGTTAATTGTTAGAGAGTGTGAAGTTAGAATTGTGATGTAACAATCTGGTGGTGCTATAGCTAGCATAGAAATTTTGCTGACAAGATATGCTCTGGTTTTGGATGGCCAAAAGGTGATACTTGCAGCAAATGATATGTTAGTTGGAGTAAGTGTCCAGGCAAATAATGCAGATGAGCATGGAAAATTTATATTGGTGCATATAGCATATATATAAAAGCAAAGCTTTGAGGCTTGTGAATTGATTTGTGCGAGGTGATCTAGACGAGATTGGGTAGATCCCTGTTTGAATACTTGATTGGGGTTAACAGTGATATGTGCAGACCTGTGTAGAGTAGTAGGCCTGGTGTTGTGATGCTTTGTTTTTGTATTCATGTTATTGAAAAGAGGATGGTTAGAAATTAGATCAGAGATGTTAGTACGTAAGTATTTAGAGTGTATAGCTTGAATTATTATATAGTGTTGTATAGGAATAATAATAGTACATTGTCCATGTGTGTTTATAGCTGTTGTTAGTATACAAGAAGTACAATTAGTAAGTGGTGATATGTTAGTATCTAGGGCTGGGGGTAGCCAATGTGTGATCTGTATGTTGTTTTTTGGTAGTTTGGTTTTGAAAACTTTTCCTATTATCGGTGTATTTTGAAATTTTCCAAGTATCCAGCTTGTTCGTGTTGGTATAATCTTATTTGTGGTAAATGGATTAGGACTCACAGTTGAAATATGTGGTGTAGTAGGTTTTAATAGTGTATTATGGAGCTCCAGAAACCACTTTGGTAACCGTCCTGGTATGATTTTTTGAGTTTTGTAGGCTAACTGGTGCCAGGTAAGTAGTTCTGTATTTGTATGATTAGTGAGTTGTTCAATTGCATAGATGTTTGCACAATTTGTGAAGGTTTTGATATGGCTAGGATTCGTGCAGTGTTGAATTAGTTGATTAATTGTTGTGCCAGGATGCTTGGTATGTATAGGCCAAGGATTAGGTAGGTTCAAAATTACCATATTGAGTTGGTGTGCTGTAAG